TAATGGGTTTTAATGTTTTTGTCTCGTCGCTCCGGCCGGACAGGGCATCATCACAGTATGGTAGGGGCGTAACATTTCCGTCACGCTTGAGGTATTCGGCCAATCACAACGCACTGGATAGCTGGCCAATCAGAGCACACCTCGCTTTTCAGACCGATGAGCTTTGTAAAAATCGACGCATTTCAGAAAGGCGGGGCATAGAGGAGAAACAACAATGTACAGTATGTGAAAAATAATGTGTTTTTTGAACCTTAAACCGCATAAACACATTTCATTACACCAAATACACAAAATAATGTTCTTTTTAGCAACATCATATGACCCCTTTAAGTTACCAAATATGGTTCTTCACCCGATAAAGGGTTAAACTCCTAATTTGCTGCTCATTAATAGTTAGTAAGGTAATAGTTAAGTTTAGGTTTGGGGTAGAGGATTAAGGGATCTAAAATATGGTCATGCAGAATAGGGCATTAATATGTGCTTTATAAGGACTAATAAACAGCCAATATGCTAGTAATATGTATGCTAATAAGCAACTAGTTAATAGTGAGAATTGGTCCTTAAAATAAAGTGTTTAAAAACACATCAAATTTATGAAAATTGTGTGTTTAGAAAATTACATTACCAATACATACCAATGTAAAGGCCATAGATTATCCCTCACAGCCTCGTTTTCATCCATGTATATGGTGTCTACCCTGACTAAGGTCTATTGCAGTAAAATTGCGGGATTACCTTTTCTGTTAAGTGTTTCCCATAAAATGAAAGTATATATTAACAACTGTCAAGCTCCAAAAAGCAAAACAATAGTCCTTACGACTTGTACTCTATATTAAAAATCTTACGGTAGCTTTTAACAGACCCAAAATGTAATTCATTATTCATCTTCCCCTCTACCAAAGCTTATTTTTGGAGCTTGAAAGACATGATTACTGTGAACTACTGTTGTTAGAAAAATCTGTGAGAAGATTCTTATATATAAAAAAATTAAATTTTCAGTAAATATAAGAGAACATCAGTGAGAGAGTTTTATTTTCGCTTAAGGTCGGAAGTGGCTGTTAATGATACACAAGATCCTAATGAGCTGCAATTAGCACACAAAAAGCCCAGTGTGTGCTGTGTGACGTGCTGTGTTGTGTCAATGGCAGCGTCCTGTGCTCTCAAACACTACTGCAGCAGGCATGTAATGTTGAAATCAGCTGTCACATTTGACACTCATGTGAGAATTAAACCAACGCAGTAAACTACCATCTAAACTTCATAACATGCTCATTTACTGCCAACTGTACACTGCAGGAATGGCACAGAATCGCATATTAAGTAGCATTTAGGTGTCTTTACACAGACTGTCTTCACACAGAATGCTGCTTAGAAGTAGCATAAATGTATTTACAAAGCAAATACGACTGTATACTTTAGGGTCTGTGGTGGGTCAGAGCTAGCATAATTTAGTCTGGCTTTTATGCGGCGGCACTATGCGTTTACACAGATTCTTGAGCAGACTTAACCCTGCGCCTGCGGCGTAAAGATGCCTTTATGTTACTGATGTGAGCTATAAATGTTTCAGACAGCCAAATCTGAAATTGTACAAGTTAAACAACCACAAGAGCAGCATAAATAGATAAACATTATCTATATTTCTCATATTGCAACTGCTGACAACTGCTATATCGCACCTAACACCCTCATGTTTGAAACAAATTTAACATAGGAAATATTTTAAATATTTGTAATGTGAACATCTTTTAATAGTTATCAAGCCTATTATCACAATATCAATATTAATACTTCTATTTTTTCAGTTTTAGGGATAACATTAATCATTTTAGCTGTTTAACATCATACTTAAAAGCCATAATTAAAAGCCATTTAGAAGGCCTAAACTGCAGATTATCAGTATATTATGAAGCTACAATGGTGATACACACACACACACTAAACTATTCAAAATGAGGTAACTGCAGTACACACAAATATTGCAAAAGAGTCTTTCCTCATCCAAAATGTTCTTCTGAAACTTTTCTTCTGTGGGCCAAGGTATGCAAGCACTGTATTGTTTCAGATGAAGTCTAAAGTAGGGAAAAGACTTTCCCAACATGGTGATTCATCCCCATTTTTTCATTGGGCTTCTCTGGCTGTAATTGTAGCAAAAACCAAAAAGGCACAACATTTTACATGGATTTTTACCACCTGCATGCCAAGACACACTTGGTCGACTATCCTACGCTTCAGATTCATTGGATTCGAGTCTTCGCATGGAGCTGTGGTATTCAAGCACTCTGAACTTAAAGGGAGGGCCCTGACTCCTGGCTGGTTAGTATGGATCCGGAGAGCACAGCGAGTTCCTTCATCTATTCTGTGGGCCTTAAAAGTGCTATTGCAAAGGCTTATTGAGTGTGTTTTAAAGAACCTTCAGAGAAGTGCTGTTTTGTGTATATAAATTACACTGTTGTGTATTTCTAAAGTTAACAAAGATCTAAAACGTCATGGTCCAATTTTAACTTTGCCTATAAAATTAAGCAGCTTGCAGAATGCACCCTAAACCTGAAAAAGAGGGGGTTCCATACAAGAGTGAAGCCAAAGCTGATGTTTTTCCAAGATTACTCTACTCCCAGCACAGAGTAATCAGAGGAGAGAGAGAGAGATTATGCATATGTGCAGCATATCTCTACTAAAAGTCAAGCTGTGAGCTCGATAATTCAAAAAAGCAATGTTGCCATCTCTCTGCTGATATAAATGGAAAGGAGCTTTTCAGTAGCGAAGCTGAAAAGCTCAATGTCACATTAATAATAACACTTATTATAATATTATATTGAAAGACAGGTGCTCACACAATTTTCTGGAAAATTACTGGTAAATGACAGTTTAGAGATCATGTATGAACAGGTCCTTTAGAGAAATACAGGGAAAGCAGTTCTAGCAAATTTCCAAGATGAGAAGTTGTAACGTTACCAATACATTACTGTTTTGATGCTATGTGGGATCGAAGCATAAGATTAACAGTACGAGCCTGTACGAGGTCAAGACATGGTCTGCTTTGAACCAATCATAAAGTTGGCGATTACTCCACAGCATATATAGTACGAAATGAAGAAAACAGCATTCATCTGCATTTTGGTGCTGATGAATAAATGGTAACTTAAAAGTAAAAAAGATGGAAAGCTGTCATTTGTGTGAACAGCAGATATGATAGTTGCGGAAAAAAAGTCCATCCCGCTGGCGATTTAACAGTAATTCAATTAGTTTAATTTAGTGGTCAATGACAGGTTAACTTGAAACTTGTGCTACAGTTTCATCGTCATCTATGATATTTTTTATTTAAATCCTTATTAACTTCCATTGCAGTGTGTTTTGCCAAGTCGCTCATTGTCATACTGCACCATACATTATAGCTAGGTTACTGTAAACCACCCACTAAACCAGTATTTCTTAACCAGGGGTCCGTGGACCCCTAGTGGTCCTTGACGTAAGGCCAGGGGGTCCATATAAAGTATGAATTTTTGTATAAATTTTGTATATTTTGACATGACATGTTCCCATGAAAGAAAAATCCAATATAGCTGATAATATGGCCAAATACTGGACAAGTCAGCTAACTTGAATTATGCTTGAATGTATTTGGTCCTCACAAAGACACAAATGATACATAGATGAGTCAATTTTGTTCTGGGGGTCCTTGAGGATGGTTCTGAATTGGACTGGGGTCCGGTACGCCAAAAGGTTGAGATTCACTGCACTAAACTACCTACAGTATAGGTGAATAGGTTTAGATTGTATTTAGATTATAGATTTTATTCCTGTGAAGCTGAATTTTCAGCAACCATTACTCCAGTCTTCACATGATCCTTTAGAAATCATTCTAAAAGGTGCTCAAGAAACATTTCTAATTATTATCTATGTTGAAAACTGTTGTGATGCATCATATTTTCATATTTTTGAGGAAACGGTGATATACTGATACAATACTTTTCAAGGATGCATTTAACTGAAAAAAGTGAGATTAAAGACACTTATGTTACAAAAGATTTCTATTTCATGAAATAACTGTTCTTTTAAACTTTCTATTCATCAAAGAATCCTGAAATAGTCATCACAATTTCCAGAAAAATATTAAGCACCACAACTGTTTTCAACATTGATTATAAAAAGAAATGAGAAATCTCTTGAGCAGCAAATCAGCATGATTTCTGAAGGATCATGTGGCACTGAAGACTGGAGTAATGATGCTGACAATTCAGCTTTGTCAAAGTTATCTTAGATTTTAATAATATTTCACAAAATGACTGCTTTGTTTATTTGTTTCTGATCAAATAAATGCAGCCTTGGTGAGCATAAAAGACTTCTTTCAAAAGAGAAAGTGAAAAGAACAGATTGGCATGAAATACAGCATGAACATTTACATCCCAGTCAGTGATGGATGATGATTATCTGTAGTGCAACTTCTAAATCAGCGGTTGTTCACCTGGTAGAGGTATCTCTGGTTGAACTGCTGCATGGCTCCCTGCAGCTGGCTGCGCTGAGACTGCCACTGCTCATAGTTGCGCACAGACTCGGCTGTGGGCCGCTGCCACGTGGTGGTTCTGGTGTTGTGATCCACATAGTAGAACCTGCCGCGCTGATCCACACGCTTCTCCCAGCTACAACAGACACGAATCATGGGTTAACACCAGCCCCAGATAAGAGGATAAGTGGCCATGCACAAAAGCAAACTGTAAATACTCTCAGGGGGCTGTTCTTTCAGGGCACTTTTTTTTTGGTTTTTCAAATGCAAACTCGCTTTGACCTTTTGCCACACGTCTCAATGTTTTTTTCAGCATCCTGTGCCATTAGACTAAAAGCAGTTAGAAAGACTAAAAGCGCTAGAAAGGTTGTAAACCCTTAAGTATCCTCTGCATAAATTTGATCAGATCCTCTGAAGCACAGCGGTGGCAGTTTATTGATGGGTTCTCTGCTATACATAGAAAATTCTACAGGAACATTTCAAATCTGAACCTTAACATGCTGAATGGTTATAAACCAGAAGAAATGTAAATGTTTTGAAATGGCGGAGAGTCTTGACCATAACTCACTGGCATTAAAAAGAGTAGTGCATGCAACGGATCTGACTCAAATCACTGAGCTGAAACAGTGTTCTGAGGAGAAACAGACAAAACGTCCTCCAAACTGAAGTGCAGAAATGATCCATATTAACCGGAAGGGTTATTGTGTTATTGGTGCTCAAGGTGGATTTAACAGACATAAAAGCCAAAGGATGCCTTACTTTTGCCAGCAATAGAAATGACATGTAACGTCAACTGTGCTGTGCTTTTAGATGGCTGGAGGGAAAGAGGAGGACAGAACCTGCTCTCTCGTTATTTATCTAGAGCAACTGACCCTGTAAATGAAGTGAACAGGCTGAAATTTAAGACTTTTTAAGACTTCTGAAGGACCCGCAAGGACCGTGTGCGAACACAGAAAAATACATTTACACTTACACCCCAACTCAAGTACTAGCTACTGCTACTGTACACTCAAGCTCAAATGTGCATTTCCAAAAGATGGCAAAAAGATTAAAGATTCAAATGTAATAATTTCACACTTTCAATAAAAATCTTAAAAATAAATATATCATTTACATTTTACATTTAATCATTTAGCAGATGCTTTTATCCAAAGCAACTTACAAATGAGGACAATAGAAGCAATCAAACCAACAAAAGAGCTATAAGCGCTGTGACAAGTCTCAGTTAGTCTAACGCAGTACACACAGCAAGGTTTTTTTTTATAATAAATAAAAAGAAAATAAGTAGATGGAATACAAAAAGAATAGAGAACGCTAGTGTTAGAAGGTCAAGTTTTTTTCTAATAAATAAAAAGAAAAGTAGATAGAATAGAAATAGAATAAAGAGTGTTAGAGGGTCAAGTGTAGATGGAAGAGATGTCATTAGTAGGGTGGCCCTTATTGGGGGGTAATTTTTTTATTGAAAAAATTTTAACCTCTCACCCCCTCATTTGTTTCTCCACTAGAAGTACGGAATGTATACAAAATACCATCCAGATAATTTGTCATTTAGGGTATGCTCAAAAAATATTTTTATCACAGGTACTTCAAGATCTGATTGGTGATATTAGCGAAGGTTTTGTTCACTGATAAACTTTTGACCATTTCTGATATCAGATGGCCATTTTGCATAACCAGGATGAAGTGTACTTGCTTGGAAGCAAGAAGGAGTCTTTATCAGGTTGCAAGCTTCCGTCCATTGGTGATGTTATTTAAGTATATCTGCACTGAATGGGAAAAAAGGGTATGGTGAAGCATACTGTAAAGCAGCAGTGCAGACCACGAAGGAGGTCCAAGACTTTTGGGAAAAGGCCCACATTCCCATAAGGCCTTTTCAAGACCTTTTAGGAAAATGGGAGGCCTTGAAGAAGAACAAGGGACGAAGGAGCGAAACACAACAGAAGAACGAAGAAGACTTCAAGGAGACCTTGATCGATCACCTCTGGTATCTCAAGTGAGGAACTGGTCGCACTGGCCCTGTTTGATCCAGATGTCACGGTGGAGGAGAAAAGGGCAATGGTTGCTGCAAAAGAGACTGCAGTGGACGAGGAGCCATATAAAAGAGTGCACGCAGACCTTCTAACATTGGAACGAAGAATTTGAGCAACTTCGTCACAATGAACACTTGCAACTTCTTATTCTTGATCTCCGCCAGGACTTCCTAAATGAAGATCCTGGTACCTGGGCAAACAATGCAACCTACATCGCAGCTGAGGAGATTGCTAAGAGCCTGACGTGACCAATGACACGAAAGAGGCAGTGCACTTATCCAAGAGTACAACGGACTCCTCTCAAAGACTCAAGAACAAACACAGTTCATTATGCAGATTGTCATAGAGCACGGAAAACAGCTTCCAGATGCCCACTAGAGTACTGTGGTTGAAGGACTTGTCGGATCATCATAAATATCTAGATCAGACCTCAATGTTTTGTTCTAAGTTCACTTTCTTCACCAGTACATTAATTTCTAGAGCCCGACCGATATGGGCTTTTTGGGGCCGATACCGATATTAGGGAGTAAAAAAGGCCGATATTCTTTGTATTATAGTGCAGTACCAGTCAAAAGTTTGGACACTTTCCCATTCGTGTGTCCAAACATTTGACTGGTACTATATATAGAATACAGTATATACATAAACAGAATATAGGAGCCCTCTCGAACGCCACCCTCCGCGCGTCGGTAGCTCCCTGGGATCGCTTGATCGGTCGGTGCCGGACCGCGAATTAAACCACCCGTAACTCCCGAACCCCGGGGGATATCGACGCGGGGGTGATCTCATTCGAAAGCGGACCTCTAGACGTACACTTGATCCGCGTTCGAGAGGGTTCCTCGAGCTGAAGGGATCCCCGAATTTTGTTCCGGATTCGCCGTGCCGTTACGGAGATATGGCCATTCAAAGTTTCAATGGTTTTCCATAGACTTAATTAAGCTTTAAAGCGTTTCATCCAGGTCGCCAGTAGCCAACAATGGAGAGCACTCTGCTGGACAAACTAAGTAATTACACCATTTCAAGCATTTATCTGCGTTATATGTTCTGTAAAAAATGTTTTTATATCGGCGGCATATTCGCCGATACCGATATATCGGCGACAGGCTCATATCGGCCGATAATATCGGCAAAACTATATATCGGTCGGGCTCTAGTAATTTCACTTTGTTGCTGAAGGACATGTTAAAGTGATGTGACATGTGGCCAAGTATGGTGTCCCATAAATTTGTGCCCTGCATTTCACCCATCCAAGTGCACACACACAGCAGTGAGTAGTGAACAAACACACACACACACGCACACACACACACACCCAGAGCAGTGGGCAGCCATTTTTGCTGCAGCGCCCGTGAAGCAGTTGGGGGTTTGGTGCCTTGGTCAAGGGCACCTCAGTTGTGGGAACTGAAAGTGGAAGAGTGCACTGTTCATTCACTTCCCCCACCTACATTTCCTGCTGGTAATGAGATGCGAACCTGCGACCCTTGGGTTACAAATCAGACTCTCTAACCATTAGGCCACAAGTGCCCCATGTCAGACTGTCACCACGATCTACTGTAGATCAGACTGCAGTTTTTCAAAGATCAGTTCTCATCAGCAGCGTTGTAATTTAACATGTTAAGACTAACAACACTCTTCTGTGTTCTCGTTTTTTACCTAATTCGCCATTTACTAATGGTCTTGTATAATTATTAATTAAGTGCTGTTGTGGTCATTAAGACGGAATTTCAATGTTGTTGAGCACACCCCAAACATAGTCCAATCTCAGCGAAATTTGGTTTGTTTCCATTTCTCATGAAGGGGAGTTGACTGGGCGGGTGAGAGCAGAAGATTCCAAAACTCCAAAAATAAGTGGCACCTTTAATCTTTAGCTGTTTCTTGAAGATGTCTAAGGACTCGGCTGCTCAGATCAAGTTGGGCAGATCATTCCACCAGCAGGGAACAATTAAGGTGGAAGTCTGAGAAAGTGATTTTGAGCCTCTTTGGGATGGCACTACAATGCGCCGTTCACTTCCAGAACGCAAGCTTCCAGAGGGCACATAACTCTGAAGTAGTTTATTTAGGTAAAAAGGGTGCAGAGACAGTGGTTGTTCAAATACAAAATTCAAATACAAAACTCACGCCTGATTACCTCAAATGTCATTTCTGTCTGACGGAGAGTGTAAAACTGTGCACCTTCTCAAAATATTAATTCATATTAGCGAAATGGTGATCTGAACAATCACTGTCGGGGTTGGCCTTCAGGGATGGGCCCTTCACAATTAACATGAAAAATTATTAAGCATTTTCTGGCAAATTTTTACATTTAATCAAATATAAAATTCAATTATAAATATAACTGCAAGCAGTAATCATCAGGTCCAAGAACCAATGGCCCATGTGGATGATTAGCGATCCAACTGAAATGTATCTTATCATATGGTTTTTACAGTAAAGTTCATCTTGAACCTTTACTGACTGTTAGATTAAAATATAAGTTTTTTTTTTATATGTGATCATAATATATGTGGTCAACTCATATGAAACATTTACATTTAGATAAATCATATGTCACAGGACTATTTCATATCAATCTGAATATTTTAAGTGCAGCTCAAAACTTTAGTATTTATCTTAAGGCCCTTCTTATGTTTATAATTTATTTCTATATGTGTTGCCTTTTAAACAGTAACAGTGTCAACGGTTGTGTTTAAACTCTAATGTTTTGCAATGCTTTGTAGAAACTAAATCCAAGAATGTAATAAATAATGTAATATTTTGCACAAATTATAGTATAATACTACAATGCAGAAATACTACACAGAACAAACTGTCATACTACTTAAGAAAACATCTATGATTACTTATATGCTTGCAGTTTAGCACAGTGTTTAATTTAACCACAACACTAAAGATGTCTTAAAAAAATATTATTCTTATTTATCTTAAAAGAGACAAGAGACAAATTGTCTCTCCATTTTAACTGACAGCACTATATGTAATCTTGTCTGGCAAGTGGCAACTTGACAAATATGTTTTATTGGGGTATATACTGTTAAATAAATAAACATTTAAAGACTAAACAAGATTAGTCTTTAACGAGCCATAAAAAATGCAAAAATGCACACTTCTGTTCATCAATTTGCACTGGCTACCAATAGCTGCTTGCATAAAATTCAAGGCGTTAATGTTTGCCTACAAAATCACCACTGGCTCTGCACCCCTTTACCTAAATTCATTACTTCAGATTTCAGAAGCTTGCGTTCTGCAAGTGAACGGCGAATTGTAGTACCATCCCAAAGAGGCACAAAATCACTTTCACTGACTTTTGATCTGCCCAACTTGATCCGAGCAGCTGAGTCCTTAGCCATCTTCAAGAAACAGCTAAAACACATCTCTTCCATCTTCAATTGACCCTCTAACTCTAGCACTCTCTATTTTAATAAAAAAAACAAAAAAAACATGACCCTCTAACACCAGTGGTTCTCAAAGTGGGGGGCACATCCAAAGTGGGGCGCGGGCCATCAGCAGAAAAAAAATAAAAAAAATAAAACAGTAAACAGCCAACGAATGTAGAATGGGAGATGGATCGGTTTGTGAAAGGGAAGAGAAAAGCCACAGATGAAGTCGCACAGAACTAGGCAGGTGCTGGTCATTCAAAAGCTAAATGCAGAAAATACGATGAGGCATATCTTGCTCTCGGCTTCAGAGGCTGTCTACACTGGACGCGACAAAGCGACCGTTGAAAATCATTTGAACTTTGTGTCAGTACGTCATAAATAGAACGAGACAGCAGTTTACTGTTGGGGATTTGTTGCGCCAGTGTACACAGCATCACTGATTATAATGTGTTCTGCTGTATTTTGTCATGGTTTTGATTGCTTCTATTGTCCTCATTTGTAAGTCGCTTTGAATAAAAGTGTCTGCTAAATGACTAAATGTAAATGTAAACATTTATTGATCTATAATCATTTCACAGATTTCTATGTGCACTATTAATATGAAACTGTACTGTCAGTCCATAGTTCTCTGCAAGATCTATGCATTTATTTCCATTCAAAGTGATGGAAATTGATAGAAAAAACTCAACTTAAAAGATTTATCCTGCATGTCCCTGTAGTGTGGTGGACAGCATTAGGATCACAGCTTTCATCTTTCAGCTGAAATGCCTGATTTGCTGTTAGCCTCCCAAGCATCATAAATTCATGAAACTAAGCATGTTTGCTCAAAATGACATGTTCTCCCTATGTAGGCCGTGATTAGCCGATGAAATTTGATTGGCTGCTTGTGGTCATGTTTTTTTAGTCATATTAGGAATATGTTAGGACGACAAACAAAGAAGCAGCATATTATTTTTCAACTTCAGCTATCATACTGTTGTGGAGTTATAGGAGTTTTAGTTGTACTTGGGTGGAATCTGATGAAAGATGGTTTGTGTCCTCATATCAAGTTTCTTGAGGCAGTTTTCTTTAGCTATATGGTTCAGTTTCATAGATATGGGAATCTCATTAGGTCTCATTACCCAATTTAACTGGTCAATATCACACTTGCTGATATTCTACATCCCACAGTAACAGCGTGCACTCTCAAGGCAGGTTTTTATTTTTTGCAAAGTGACATACTCGATAACCTTTTAGGGTGTTGAAGTGAGATTTGATGTTAATGTGCAAATTGTTAGGGATGGACATTGATCTAGCAACTCCTTCCATAAACATTACCTGTCAGCATGTATAAATATGTGACAAAGACAGATACACACCCTGGTGGGAGGGGTCTCTCCCATGTGGTGGTCTTCGTGTTATGATCCACATAGTAGACTCGTCCATGAGGCAGAATTCGCTGTTCCCAACTACAAGAAATCAAAAACACTGAGCAAACCGATATGGCATGTTTTCATGTTTAAATTCAGCCCCAGCTCTCTGACGTACCCAGCAGGCAATGCATCAGTGGTGTGTGTCTCTGTGGCTATACTGGTCTGATCGGTGGAGGATGGGGTCTCTGTGGCTGCTGGCAGGGCAGAACTGTCCATCCCAGCAGAGGGGGTTGAGCTCAGTGAGGGTGAAGACAGAGCTGGACGTGATAGATGACCGTCCTCAATCCCATTAGCAGCCGTCTCACCTTTACCTGAGCAAAGACCAACAAAAGTGTAAAATTAACACCATCATACCAAATCAGACCACTCAAAGAATGTTTACTAGGGCCTAAGTAGGGCAATAAATATATACGGAGTCATCATTTACTTACCCTCATGTGGTTCCAAACCCTTAAGACTTCGAAACACAAATTAAGATATTCTAAACAAAACTAGAGAGGATTCTGTCCCTCCATTAAAAGTTCAGGTAACCAAAACATAAAAGATCCAAATATGGGTTGTTAAAGGCATTATTTGAGCTTCCATGTTTGCCACGTGATGCATTCTATGTGTGTCGATAATTTTTTTTAAACCTCTCACTGAAAAAATTTGGTGTATAAACAATTTTCAATCAGAAATTGCTAATAAATTTCACAAATAATTACAAAGAAATGGTAAGTAACACATTAAATTAAATGTGAAATAGAAGAACTGAAGCAGCATTTCCTTGTAAAAAAAAATACTCCAATAACCTTTGTTTTATTTAAAACTTTGACAAATTATTATTATTTTTTTTATAGAAACCTGTCCGGTTTCACAAAAAAAAATGTATTTTTTGTTTTGAAGATTAACATTAGTCTTATGGGTTTGAAACAACAGACTAGTGGGTCATGACAGAATTTTCATTTTTGGGTGAACTATCCGTTTAGGTGTCAATCAACAAAGATTTTGCTATATCATTTATGTAAACATATCCAACTATCAGTGGGCAGGAATTCTTAAAGCTACTGAAAAGTCAGAGGAATAAAGAAGCATGGATGAATGAGAAAATAAAGGGCGGGATATGCTTATTATAAAAAGCACAAACATTTTTACTGTCTTAACACATTTTGTCAAAATAAAAGCACCTTTTGTGAATGAACACATTAGCTGGGTTTCCATCCAAAGTTGCGAATTTAACTTATGCACAAAAGTGGTATATCACTTAAAACATTTAAGAATAAGAACCGTTTCCATCCAATGAGTCAAAGAGAACAAAATGGTCCCTTCCTGATAAACTGGCACTAAATATCACTATGAAGACACTCAATATAATAATTTTCATATATATAAATTACTTGCTCCTCAGAGCGAGCAGACGAAACAGTAAATGCGCTCATTGCTTTTGGGGGTGCATGCTGCTGTTTGGGAACACAGTCGTGTAAGACAGTTCTGGGAGGCAATTATACAGAAACACTTTTGATGACAGACTTAGCTCGGGCATTTAAGAAAGACCATAAAAACATTTCAGATGCTGTGCAATGAGATCGGTCCGCTGGTTAGTCAGGTTTTGCCGTCTCATAGCACAGTCACATGATGCACATGGAGGAATTTATTTCAATCTCTCATTATTTGCATTAACCCTTTTTTGCACAAGTCAAATAACAGCTTAAGCGAGCGTAAAACCTTTTTTGCAAATTAAGGGAATTTTATTTTTTTTTTCCGAGAAATTTGCCATTTCCATCACTCGTTTCTGATGCAATACTTCAAAATGTGCATAAAAACAAGGTGATGGAAACATAGCTTTTGATTACAGTATTAGATTAAGATAAGCACTCATCACCTTATATCTCAGTGTGTTATGATCATATTTCATAGCAGCCTGAGTGGGTTTGTATGTTTGTAATGTGTGTGTGTGTGTGTGTATCTGACCAGCGTCGCTCAGGCTGCTGATGGCCGTCTTTGAGTTGCGGCAGCATGTGTTGTCTGCAGCTTCTCCGTTCAGTTCACCATTAGTGAGAACAGCTCCTCTGACGTCAGCTGGAGAATCTCCACAAGAACCCACAGATGAAAGAGCTAAACTTCTGAAAATATATGACAGATTCATTTCAGACTCAGTGTTGTTACTGTATGTATGCGCGCCGGTTATTTCTGTGTATTTCCTGTTATTCCTCTGTAAACCCACACACAGTGAATATGTTTAATTATGGGTGTGTCCAACCTATCTGTACATGGGGGCAAGTATTTTTAGTAAATATCCTGTAATACTCCCATGAAGGGTGCACACAATTTGCTAGATTGCCCAAGCCAGTTCTATTATTTGGGATCTTAGTAAATCAGACCTAAGACTGATTAGACAATGTTTATCACCAACATTTCCAAGCAACACATTTGCTTGCCAGTCATGATTATTTGGAGCATACTGGTGGGTTTGGCAACTCAGTTTCCGGTTTGACAGAATTGACATTTTTGTCCTTTTAATTGTACAAGTAAGCAACAGAGTTTCTTAAAGGTAATTTTTTAAATAAAAATTGTGCTCACCCACCCAAGCATGTTCTCTCAGCACAATTCAGTCATAAAAAACCATTGTGTGTGCAATGTTCCACATACAGTAACTGTGTGCAACAAAGCAGCTGATATGCTCTACTTTTGTCTTTATTTATTAATTGAATTATTTAACACTATTTTGCAACAGCTACAAATGTGGTTCTGGAGTTGGTTCCAAATCAGAGAAAATAACCAAAAATTGTATGAAGCACCTTTCACTGTATTCAGTTCACTGGATTACTCAAAAATAGTGGTCATACCACTAACCCCTAACACCAACTTGTGATTCTTTAGCCCATTTAGTATATTATGCATTGAAAACAAGGTTGCGCTTACTAGGACATGAGAGAGAATGCACAACAGAAGACATGAAACAGGAGAAGCAGAAAACACATTAAGAATATTCAGTGATAAGCAATTGAAAAAACGAAGATATTTGTGCTGACCGTCCACGGGGGCTGCTGGTACTCGGGGTCTCTTCACTATGAGCTCTGTGCAGATTAGACCTGCTCGAGTGAACTATCTCTGCAAAGAAAAAAAAAACATAAAATCATCATAGGTAAGTGCATTAGGAGTGATTCACATACATCATGCAGAAAAGTTTGTCATTCCTGCATCACAGGGTGAAAACCAGAGCCATTTGATGCTTTTAAAACGACCTACTTTTCATGACCTATTACTGTATGTTTGATAATTTCACAATTACAAAAGCACAAAAAATTGGGACATCTAATGCTGTAATGCTCCAATGGGTAGAGAGACACCAAAGCACAATTTGGAAAGTGCCGGTCATAGTATTACTCAGAAAAACATCCTTGTGCTGAGCTGAAAATGCTGCAAGAGCCACTAATATTAGTGATCTGTATTAAAATGTGTTGTGTGTTGAGTGGCACATACTGTACAATAGAAAACATTGAGAGAGCTGACAAACATACTATTACGCGCATTCATTTGCGATGCTCAGTTCTGGTTTAATTCTGGTTATATCCAGTTTTCTGCATATACGTCAATAGATGTTGTTAAGATGTTGTGTTAGTTCATGTTTTCAATAATCTTTGTAAGAAAGACACCCTCATGTTGTTCCAAACATGTATGACTTCCTTTCTTCCTTGAGCACAAAAACGAGAAGCTGAGCAAAATGTTCACACTGCTTTTCCATATAAACGTCTTTGTGACCGTCCATATGACTTGTATGCTATATTTCAAGCCTGCCCATAAAACTTATAATATTTCTGCCTGTTTCTCACACAAAACAAAGTTATTATTCACAGAAAATCTTTTCCTCCTAGTTAGCTCTCAGACTTGTGCGATTTGAATATGAGCACAAGACACAAGAAACAATGATATCTGACAATAATTTTGTCTAACACACCTGGAAGAGGCACATTTATAGATTTAAATAAGATGTGAGAGCTGTGGTGGAGGAGATAATGATTTAAATTTTGCTCTGTTCCTCACGCAAATGTGTTGATTATATGGAAAAAATAGAGTGAACATTACACTAAAGTTCTGAAAATCATAGTTTGGAATCCCATAAGGGGAAAATTGTCATTTGTGGATAACCATTCATTTCATACTGACATTCATCTGAAATTAAATCAAATAAATTTTGACTGCTTACGTTGTTGCTCTTAATTAATCGCGTTTGCATTTTTCCTTGTTTTCTTTAAGTAGTTTAACAAGAAAGTGTCTGTTAATAAAAGGCTTGCAGTTGCAGTTGCAAAACTCAAATGGAGCGGCATTAAACCTTTTATTACAAAAGTCACAAGTTACTGTAAGAAAGTTTGAAGCTTAGTATGTTTGAGCACAAGTTTCTGTTTACTGAACACGTGTGTGCCATTCTGTCTTACCCAGGCCTGTACACAAAGACCTGTTTATGTACTGCGTGTTTCAGAAAAAAACCGCCAGGGGAAATGAGGGAAAACATTAAACCAACAAGAGCGACTTCAGAGCGAACAGAGGACCCTAACAGACCTGCACACACTCCAACCTTTATCAACCACTGAAGGTCAAACACAAACTCGCGCGCTGAGAGAAAACACACTCCAGATCTTTATACTGTACGTGGCTAAAACCAGAATTTGAGAGCGCATCACAAAGCCAGTTGTTGTTCTGATATGTTGTGAAGGACATTTATGTCAAACTGCCAATCTATTAAGAGAGTGTGTGTGTGTACAATGAGTAACTGAAAGACAAAGTCAGACAAATCACTGAAAAATAGCAACAGATTATTCATCTCCAGAACAACAGTAAAGTCCTTCATAGGCACATGCATAAGAAGCATTTACACTCAGAGCTTTTGTTGGTGTTTATTACAACCTCATTCATAGGTTAAGCAGCTCCAACCCAATCTACCTAAATGGAAACAAAAACACTTCCAAATTCAAATTGTGTTTACAAAATAAGATTTTCACAAACATATGCAATACATGCAATCAACCAAAGCCACAGAAATTCCAGAATGACTAAAACTGTATGAATAGCATATTAAATGTAGGACTGACCATTATTTGCTCATCGATTAATCTGATGATATTTTCAGTTATGCAATATTGGTTATATAAATTCGCAGCTAGTTTTTTTCTCTTATACATAACAATCTTTGTACATGAAACCCATTAAATAGCAGTAAAATCTTTTCCAGTAAATGTACTACATAGACTAATGCTTTCCGTCTTTTACCCAGACTGCTATTATTCACAGCTGTTTTCAAATCAGCATCCATCCAAATTAACAATATTTTTATTTGAGACAGAAAGTGGCTGGAGCAGTTCTGCAAATGTGTCAGAAATGACATCCGTCCACTAAAGACACGGCACAACTTCACTGATGATCCTCTGAGAGACAACTGATGCAAAAATGCTGTTATTTTCCAGGCTGTGTTGGTGAAAAATTCTCTTTGCTGCTTATGCACTTGGTCTTTTGTTCAAAATATTCACAGAATCTAACCTTTATTGAAGTAAAAAAAAAATGTTCTTTCTCCAAAACGTGTGTACCACAATTTCTGGCAAAACAAAAAATTTGTATCAGTTAAAATCTGAAACTGAAATACATTCCCATTAATTTTCTACAGTATGGTTTCTTTTGTGATTATGAATACTTTAGTGGTAAGGCATGACTTCCTGTTTCACTTGGGTATAAACATGAGGTAACATCCAGGCCAAATTCCTCTTTCACTATGTTGAAGAGCTACACAAATGGAAGAAAAAGCTAAACTGTTGAAAATGCCCATTTCCACTATCAGAGCAATAATTCATTGGAGATGTTCAGCTTGGAAGAGGACATGTCTTCATTGACACCACACACAGTGAGGAGGATGACTTGAATGACCAAACAGTGGGTTTCATGTACTAATAATTGCATAGATTATTTGTACTGATATGCAAAGGAGATTCCGCCAGAGTCACAAAAAGAGTCTGCATTAAGTAAAGTATTAAATGCAGGGGTGCTGACATTTATTTAGATTTGATTTGTGTGTGCATGGGAGAGAGAGCAGGAGAAAGAGAGCGCGCTTTGATAATCATCCTATTGCTAAAAATATTTATTGTCTTTGTGATTTCTGATTTTATTTTCTGTGGTAATTCTTTACCTGAAATACTTGTCAAACAAAGTGATATGGAACTGTAATAGTTAGAACTACTTTAGCTGTGCAATTATTGAAAATCAACTGTAAGCCAATCAGAATGGAGCATTCTAAAATGCTGTGGTATAATTAAGCAAAATGGCATGAAGGCTATGCTATATTGGAGTGAGCATGAGAGAGAAGGGCTGTCAGAACAAACACAGCAGGCACTGTCTTCATTTCAAGTGCATTAGTCTACTATATTGTGTGTGCTCTGTGTCCGCTGCAAGAATTCCAGTGTAATCTGAGACGACCTGTTACACATTGGGTATTATAGTCATCATAATCAATTATTAAATTCTGGAAATAGCATTCAGGAATTAACATGTTTGAGCAGTCAGACCACATAAGAGTTTACATCCTGAATGAATCTTGCCTTTGTAAAAATTCAAAAATATATTTTTAGAGACTTATTGACCTTGACAGTCATGATGTTTTAAAAAGATGAACGACTTTTAACTTGACATGTTAAAAAGATGATACGAATATCATTCACAATAACACATACATTAACAAAATAAACTGGGCCAATTTTGATTTCATGTCAACTTAAATACTACTGTAGTACTGTTGCAGTATTCATTTTGTAGTCTACAATAAGTCTGAATAAGTCAAATATGGTTAGGGTGTATAAAATTATAATATATAATATCATAATGGCTTTTTGGCAGGTGGAGGGTTTAGCCATGGGAACATTTTGGAGGCAAAATCTAAACCATACCCTCCTGAAAATAAAACACTTCAAAACAATAAAACACTTCTGAAAATATGTCCTTTAAATTTCAGCAGTTAAAAAAGACAACTCTAGACACATGTATACCACACATTCTCTATTTCTCTACCTGTGGCTTTGTATAAACATTAAATTGTTTTAGGTTGACTGATCGTGCTATATATCATGTCTCAACACACCATGTGGAGCATCACAGCATAGTTAACAGACTATGTCATAAGTAGTGCTGGGCGGTATACCGGTTCATACCGAATACCAGTGTTTATTTTTGTTATGATATGAATTTTTAAAATACTGCAATACCGGTGTATGTCGCTTAAACAACGTTCGGAACGTGACACTGTTTGAAAGGGGTCCCTTTTCACTGTTGCACTGTGGTGAGGGAACAGCTGTATGTGGTACTAAGTGTGAAAGTTCCGAAACTGAAGCTGTAGAACTAATAGAACGTGATGATATCAGACGATGCCGCGATTATAAATGAGAGTGACTCCTGGTTAACATTAAAGGGGTCATGTTTAGTCACTATTTAGTGTGGTATTTTTTGACAATATTCACTCATCATGACAGTAAAATAGGGCATTCTAAGTCAATATACTGCAGTATTTCCTCTCTCAATCAGTAGAAAATATGGTTAACACCCGGTCATGCATGGAAAAAAATACCGTCATGTACCGTGAAACCGGTATAATTTTGAAAAATACCGTGATATAAATTTTTGGTCATACCGCCCAGCACTAGTCATAAGAACCATTTTACCAGCTAGAGACAATCGTTCAGTAACTAAACTCACGATACCAGTCTTCCTACAGTAACAGACTCATTTTAGTACCCCTGCACTGTCTAACTGACACATGGCTGCTTCCCAAAGCAACTTACTCCCAATCAGAAATGAGTGCATGAGTCTGAACAGATTAGGATTGTGAGTGGTCAAAATACTCAGTGACCTCCTGGGCTGTGTTTGTCAGCTGTGAGTACACAGAGGAGAAAATCTCTCTTGTGAGCATTCGCTGGGCCTCCTCTGGTCTGAGTCGACTCTTTCCATCCCAACCCCTCTCACCACAACCTCCTCGATTCCTGCATTTAGTTTAGGTGGAGTCACAGCCAAGGCTTTGCGCACTCATGAATGTGCATTTGTTCATGTGTTCTGTGTGTTCTACGAGTGTTTTCTATGAAGTGTGCATGTGTGTCTGTGAACAGGACTTACTGTCTGGGGCAGCGTTGCCACTGGGCAGAGATCCTAGATCAACAACCAGGCCGTCCAGACAGACGTTGAGCTCACCTCCTGCTACAACCGAGCCTTTGTTCTCTGTCTGTAGAACCAGACTGAGCTGTACATTCTCCACTGCCAGTCAAAAAGATACAGAGAGAGAGAGAGCTTTAGTGCTAGCAAATACATTCGTTTTTCAGTTTCTTAAAACCTAAATTTCATTTACATTCATGACATTTTATTTGACTGAATCTTGGTTTTGGCAACACACTCACTGGTTCATATTTTGTATTTTAAAATAGCAGGACAGAAGTGAAACTGGTTTAAAAGGGTTTGGGGGAGAGCTCAGCTGTTAATTTCAATCTATCCCATGTTAGCCTCACATACCTCTGAACATATGCTCACATAACAGCTGTCGGACACTTATACAAGAATAGCAAACAGAAAAACATTATGTCTTTATCTTCTTAAGAAAACATTAACTGTCATAATTTACCCTCATGTCATCCCAAACATGTACAGATTTCCTCCGTGGAACAAACAAAGGAAATTTTTGAAAAGTATCCTATCTTGTAAATGTAAAAAAAAAAAAAAGTCTTTATTGTGTTAGTCTTGAAAATTGCACCAGAGGCTGCTTCTCTGCACATTTAACAGGAACTTTGGATCTACATATAATAGTTTTCTGATGGCAAAAGTTCAAGAATTTCTCTAAACAATGTGAAGGAGACAGCTGACTCAGAAACAACTTGGAAAAAAAAAAACTAGGACTAACATTGTGGAGTGACGCTGCTGAAAGTCAAACCTCAAAACCTTTCAGGACAAACACTGCACTGAGCTGAAAGGAACTCGTGGTAAGTCTGTACAGACTTATTCCAAATCTTTTAGACTGGTAGAGTCAAAAGACCCAGCAATGCAGAAGTATTAATTACAGGAAGTCACATGTTTTCAATCAGAGACTTTTCCCCTTCTTGCATAAAATGCAAGAAAAAAATACCTGTTTTGTTTTAATGTCAGTTACAAGGTGTTATGAATGTCTGAGGTGATCAGCACTGATTTTAACCTTAATATTAGGGCTGGGAAAAACTACTTGATGATTTTTGTGATTAATAGTTGTTGTTTAACACATTAAAATAATGAAGGCAATTAACACAGCTTCTGTTTTTTCAATTCCTGAAGTAGCTACAGAGCTTAGTCAGGGTAGTGCCATATTCAGTGTTTGACAGGAATGAAAACAAGGCTGTGAGGGACAGAAGTACAGTGTTTTCAATGGACTGTACTGCTGTTTAACAACATGCCAATTGATTTCCTTAAAACATTTAGAAGAAGAAAAAAAACATTTAGTAGACAAACTCCACAAAACAGTTTTGAAAGTTGTTAGTTGTGAAAATTACAAGTAATTTAATACTTTTATATGGTGCTTGTCATTGTAAAGACTAAGTTCATCCCTCACAGCCTTGTTTTCAAACGGGGCTAATATACACACACACACGGTGTGCTGTAATGCTACCCAAAAATCATGATCCTAACCTTTATCTCCATACCTGAACCTCTGATGGCCAGACAGGAATTCGTCTTCTATGAATTGTTCAAATATTTGGTGCCCGGAGACTGTAGTGCTCACCCAGTTCTTAAAAGCTTAGCTTACGTGTGATATGAATAAACAGTGCTTATAAACGGCTGTTCAGACCGTATTCTCAACTGAAACTAGCAGAGGCTTGGACCCAGAAACAGTATTGCTAATGTCAAATTATAAGCGGATATCTTTTCACCACACACTTTGGTTAGCATAACAGTAAATGATCATCCATGCACCGCTCACCAGCTCCACGAAGTGAGAAAGAGTGGACAAGCGAGGAAGGTTTGAGTGCACACAGCAGCCCTTACCACCCATTCCTCCTCTTTAAGTGTAAATGAGGCTTTAAATGTTTATTTAATCATGAAAATGAATGTTCAAACTAAACTCTATAAAGTGGAGAAAAAAAATAACTGACAGCTTTCATTTAACACAAATAGCTGACAGAGACAGAAAAATCACCAAACTTAAATATATTATTATATAATGGGATTATGTGAATATTGTTCATGTGGTTATAATATCTGATAATTAGCAGTTTAGACCTGGCTTTCAGTTATACTGTAATGTTGAATGGCTTACTTATTTTATCTCTGGGAATAAAATTCATTTAAGAGCTATCAGCATGTGTATTAAAAAAGATGTATAATATTTTTTTTTTTTCAAAATATTAAATATTTCAATACTGTCTTCAGGTTGTATCCACATTAACTTAATGTGAAAATATATTTATAAAAATATATGTATCAACATCCCTACTTATCATGAATTGCAATTTTTATGGTAGGGCTGTGCAATTAATCGTATGTGATTGTCATGCGCATCTCGTCAGTAAAGCCGGTTCCGTGATTGGTAGTAAATCTCCATCACCTGCTTTCAGATGGAGCGGCATTTACTACACTGAGCCATAGTTCACTGACAATTAGGCAATATCGCGTTCATTATCGTAGATTAATCACATTCGATTATGAACGCGATATTGCGTAGCTTGTCAGTGAACTACAGCTCTGTGTATTAAATGCCGCTCCATCTGAAAGCAGGTGATGGAGATTTACTACCAATCATGGAACCAGCTTTATTGACGAAATGCGCATGACAATCACATACAATTAATTGCACAGCCCTATTTAATGGTGTTTGGAGTTGTGTCTGTTTGTGATGAACTTACTCTTGCCATCATGTGTTCGTAGAGTGTCCAGTAAGTCAATGGTGGCATTGCCCAGAAGTTCCTTCCTCAATGTGTGACAACTCCACAACTTCAGATCCAAACGACTCTGAGGAGTCACGTTCCTGTATAAAAAAATAATAAAAATGTGAAAAAAATATATATATATAATAATATAATAAGCAGTATGCAGTCATTTAATTAAGTCCCCTAGAGCTGACATGGCTTTTTAAAATAGATTTATTTTTTTATTACTGTTTTTACTTGGTTACTGATTGCAGTTTCAGTAGTTTTAGGTCATTTGAAATTAAATAAGTAACCGATATAGATATATATATATATATATAATCTCATAATGAGAGTCACATAATGCCTTACAGGGTGAGGTCTTCATTCCACTGCAGTTCTAGGTTTCCGGTGCGTTTGCCTGTTTTCTTCGTTTCACTGGTCAGGCCGTCAGCGGTCACTTCCACAAATGAACTCAAACGAGAGTGACGATTGGGGAGTTTAGGAGACTGAGGCTTAGCAGACAACACTGTCAGATGAGCAGAACAGAACAGAAACACTTTCAACTCTTAAACATCCTTAAAGAGAAGAATAGAAGTTCTGCAAAATTTCAATGAGAATTAGTACATTTCATTTTTGGCTAAGTTCTAAATTACTGTGAAGCAAACCATTACAGAGTTATACATCCCATATCATATTTACAATCAAAATGAACAAGAAGTAACAGTAATAACATCCAGTGGCGGCCCTAGCATTTTGGGGGCCTTAAGCTAATTTTCTAAATGGGTTCTGTTTCACCTTACTGTGTGTTACTCTTACTCAGTATATTTATCTTTAAAGATAGATATATTTATTTCTGAAGCAAACTAACATGAGACTTCAACCATTGCTTTTAGAGAAATGTATCCACTGTATGTGGAGAAATTTGGGACTGCAGCTTTAAATACAATAAAATAATAGACAATAAAATAACGTATAAAGCAAACAAATGTTACAAAAATGGTTAAAGTGCAACTGAACACAACTATAAAGAATAATAGAATAGAATAATAATAAAGAATCAAATTTTTTTTTTTTAAACACTATCAAGATATCTTTTCTGGACTGGCATGTCTTAGTCCAGATTAAAATGTAAAAATATGTTTTATGTTCAAATATACGGCAACTTAAAGTGTTTGGTGTTGTTATAGCAAATATAAAAAAGTTGTATGCAGCATACTCGCAGCGTTGTAAATTTTAACCGGTTGATGGAAAAGAAGCTAATGTGCGTTCTACAATCTAAACAGATAACAAGGTATTTTAGATAACAATACTATGCATGCAATGTACCGAAAGGTGACAGTGACATAGCCGCTTCATTGGCACAGCATCGTCAAATCACAGCGCTCATGAAATGCTGAATTAAACTGATAATATATGATGCAGCAGCCGCCATTTCAATAAATGTGTATCATCATAATTCAACTACCCAACTACTATCTTGCTTCTTTCTTTCATCATCTTCTTTTGTCTTTTTCCTCTTTTCTGCACCAGACTGATAGTGCTACCTCTGAGGGGTGCGAACTGACAAAATAAATGATGAATCTCAAACTTTTGTTTTTGTGTTGGTACCTATTTGTTCTAACCTTATTAGATGTATGCATCATTGATTATTTAAAATTATTACATTTAATAATTTAAATTAGAATAACAAGACACTATAGGCTGATTCCAATCAAACTGAATCAGTATTAACAAAATCCATTTTTATGAAGTGGCACAGAAGCTAAAGCAGCATTTAGATGCAATAACACTGCAATTTAACTCACATAAATAAAGCTATGAGATAATATTTTGAATAATGAAATATGAAATTATTAAAAAAAAATATATATATATACTGTATATTATATATATATATATATATATATAAATAATAAACATTGCTGTGCATAATGCCTAATCATAAGTTTGTTCAGAAATGGTGACAAAAATTAAATATTTGAATATTTGTTTTTTTATGAGTCCAAATATTCAAATACAGTATTTTTGAAAATGTCAATCCCCATCATTAAACCACACTATTGGTATGTCAGTGTGACATACATTGTTTTCTTCGTCCTTGCTTTCTGTGTCATCTTGATTGACGTTCTGCTCGAGTACTCACTCCGAACCCCAATCTCTCAGCTCTTCAGATGTAAAAAAGCCCGTCCCAGCGGCGCAGTGATATATAGGTCCACCACTAGCAGTTTCTGGGACACGGCTGTTACTCTCACGATGAAAATGCCCTGGAAACTCTGCGTTTGGTTGAGAAACACTCGTACCATGAGGTTTTAGCACTGCGTCGCTCCTGCACGGCTCACAGACTGTTATGTGGGAGGTACTTGAAGAAAAACATCTCACAGGAGCATAACCGCATGCTTGATTTTCTACAACCGAAGTCTTATGGTAGCAATTAGAAAGATAAACGCCACCCCTCGTTTTCACACCGAAAGGCTCTAGTTTTGCATGTGTGTTTTTGTGCATCATAACCTGCTGATCTTTTAGAGCGAATCATGCACACAGTATTCATACATCATTAATATTTAACCCAAAGTACCATGGTATTTTTTCCAAAAAACATGGTATTACCATCTTATCATGTCCAAACTAATCAATGTTGTTATTGTTAACTAAAACAAACATTATTATTACATTACAAACATTATTAAAAATAATTTAAATACATAAAAATGTAAATATTAGATGACTTAAATGTAAAAAACTTTAGATATTTTGCCTTGTCTAATGTTGAAGTACTAAAACTAAAGCTGAAATAAAAAGAAATTAAAGCTAAAAATATTTTTTTAAATCAAAAACTAATTTAAAAAAATGACAAAAACATACTAAAACTACTATTGAAATAAAGAAATATATATTTCCATTGGTCAATTTTATTTTATTTTATACTAAACTTTTGTCAATATTTATATTTGCTTTCATGATACACTCTCCTGGTCTTATTGTGAACCTTTTATCAGAGCATGCTATTCCAAAGTTAAATAAATAAATAATAAAAATTAGTCTTAATAATTGTAATCTTTACTGTAATTTTTAAAATGAGATAATTGTTTCCTCCTTTTTTGGTTAAAAATCTAATATATATATATGCACTGTACAAGTATTATATATATATATATATATATATATATACATTAAACTAAAACTTTAAATATGAAACTAAAACCACAAGTCACTGTCTTAATTAATGAGTCACTGAGTCAATTGTTTGGTTCAAACAGCTGATTAATTTAGGAACTAATTAAGTGACTGTCTTCATGAATGAATCATTAAATCACTGATTTGTTCAAAAACACAGAATTATTCAGGAAAGAAACCGTGTTGCTCGGAGGCGCACAACAATTCCACTGTGGATTTGCTTGGAACTATTTTGGTGAAATAGAGCAAAATCAGACAACATTACAATGCAACGCACAATAGTAACTTCTGTGCACTCACTCATGTGATACTGCTTGAATATATCATGTAGAAATATAAGACTTATACAGGGGCATTTTTGCTCCTTATATATTGAATATATATTTAGATATTATATAATATTAAGTATATTATAATATATTTTTAGACATTTTAACTGCAATCTACTAGGCTACATCACACAGTAAAAGTGTGCACTCCCAAGGCAGGTTTTTGTTTGTTATTTTCAAAGTGAGTGACATACTCATAATATCAGCATCCACGTCCTTAAAACAATTGCGATACTGTCAATAATATTAAATATATTATAATATATTTTTAGACATTTTAACTGCAATCTACTAGGCTACATCACACAGTAAAAGTGTGCACTCCCAAGGCAGGTTTTTGTTTGTTATTTTCAAAGTGAGTGACATACTCATAATATCAGCATCCACGTCCTTAAAACAATTGCGATACTGTCACAGATGATGCACAGATGATACTGGTGAGCATGTGGGCCCTATGCACTCATTTATATGTGGCTTATCATGTGGGGCCAGCCCTGATAACATCGCAATAATGTTATGATAACACAGCACAAACTGCTTACTTCATTAAATTACTTTTTTCAAGAGGAGAAAACACAGTAAGACATCTTACTGTTGGCAAGACAGTTATGTAGAATGGATAACATATTTATATTACAAGCATTAAATAAGTCGCAAAGACTATGATTCCAAGATCAAAGAGTCAAGGTGCCAGGAAAAATTTATGATTTTGTCAAGCAGGAAATGTGAGTGAATGTGTCCTGACATGAACACCAGCTGATCTAGCAGCTCGAAGTTATTATTCAGCACACATCACCCTCTAGAGGACACACGGCACAGTGCAAAAACACATGCAGGACTGATGCTGCAAGCTGATGCGTCATGTGACCTTTTAAATCACATCAATTCCAGATAAATCAATCACAGTGCACAGTGCTGATGCTCGATGGGACTGGATCAAAACAGGCTGGTTTTCTTACCTTTCAAGGTCAACTGTGATTTCTCTGGGGCCTGAATGTTGGCAGACTGAGACACACTGGCAGCTGCCATCATCACATCACATCACATCACATCACATCACATCACAGCCCTAAAACACACACACAAATACAGCATTCTTCATTAGCATTCATATTTACTCAGCCACTGGAAATTATAATCAGAGGATAATAAGCCGTGCGTGTTTACTGAGATCTTCATCTAGCATTAAAACCCAGTGATCATCTGAAGCACAGACACATATTACAGTTCAATGCAGGAAGATTTTGCGCAAACTGTTGAAAGAATCAAAATAAAATGAGTAATCCCATAATACATGCTTTATAAAAAATGTGTCATAATGAAATATGTGAATATCCCAGTCTGACAGATTCACAGGCCAGTAACTGATTTTGATAAGCAGACACAAACAAACAAACAGCAATAATAAGTATTAAAGCGACGGTATACAGCAGGATCAGCTGATCATAACATCGCATTTCTAAACGGGAGATCATTTCTGAAGTTATTAAAGATGTATAATCATTGATCATTTTAAGTTTAATTTCGCATGATGAGTGAGATAGTGACGCTGTTTGACTAGCTGTACATCATAATTTTTAGATCAAAAGTCACAATATAGTTGAAATTGTCAAGAAGAACGCTTAATAAAAGCGGACAGGCTTATGTGTGATTTAACCGGTTTTCTGTTTATAATAACACAAAAAATTTTTGATCTCTACCTTTTGTCTGCCGTGAGACTGTGAAGCGCTAGCTGTCATTTCCGCTTTAATGTCAGGGTCATGTGACTAACAGACCAGCGCCGCGGTGGATTATGGGTGCGGATGCTCCATACCGTCAGTGTGACAGGGGTGCGTTTTCTGTTGTACTGTAGAACCTTAAAAATTTCGGTAACATTTTAAACATTCCACCAGACAAGTTCGGAAATGCCCATAAGTTTTTGACAAAATGTTCATAAATTGCATTGTGATATAGAAATCGATCTACAGAGGTTTTATACGTCTTAGACCTAAATGTTTTTATTGAAATGTTCAATGAGTATGGAGTACCACAAGGCTCAGTACTTTGCTTTTCACACTTTACATGTTACCCTTGGGAGATATCATCAAGAAGCATGGTGTTAGCTTTCACTGTTATGCTGATGATTTTTTTTTATTTATTTTTTTTTATTATTTTTTTATTGCAATTTTTAGAACAAAGAACATATAAGGGCAATAACATTTAAACTGAATGAAAACAAATATTTAAAATAAATAAATAAAAATTAAATAAGAAAAGCAATTTAAAAAAAAATCTCACATCTGTAAACAAGTACAAATAATTAAAAATTATTCAAAGAATATATTTAAGGCTTTAAAGTAATTTACAGGTTTTTTTGCTTTGTTATTTCTTATTTCTTTTAACGTATACAAGTAGTGACCTATTTCTATTTTGAAATTATTAAAATTAGTTTTTTTCACTGGCCATTTACATTTGTGAATAAAGAATTTTCCATATATAATGAGTAAATTCACAATATACCAAATCTTGAAGTCAACAGTATACTCATAAAAAAATAAAACATCCTTTTCTTTGAGTTGCAATTCAATATTAATACTTTGTTTAACAACAAAAAAAAAACAAATCACACCAAAATAATTTTGTATAAATACAATCATAAAATGAACAATACTCTCATTTTCCTCTTTACAGAAAACACAGTTCAAGTCAATGTCTTTACAGAACTTTGCAATTACCTGTTTTACAGGATACTGTTATGCTGATGATACTCAGCTCTATATTTCTTCATGGCCCGATGAAACATACCGATTTGCAAAACTAGTGGAATGCATAGTTGATATAAAAAACTGGATGACTAGTAATTTCCTACTGCTAAATTCTGAAAAAAAAACAGGTTTTAATTATCGGACCAAAAACCTCCGGATGTAATAACCTAAAACACTAACATTTAATGGCTGCTCTATTAATTCTTCGTCATCAGTTAGGAAGCTAGGTGTGCTATTTGATAGCAATCTTTCCTTTGAAAACCACGTTTCTAGCATTTGTAAAACTGCATTTTTCCATCTTAAAAATATATCTAAATTATGACCTGTGCTCTCAATGTCAAATGCAGAAACGTTAATTCATGCATTCATGACCTCAAGGTTAGATTTTTGTAATTCTTTATTGGGTGGTTATTCTGCACGCTTAATAAACAAACTCCAGCTGGTCCAAAATGCAACAACTAGAGTTCTTACTAGAACCAGGAAGTACGAACATATTAGCCCAGTTCTGTCAACACTGCACTGGCTCCCTATTGACCATTTCTATAATTCAAATCCGTTAAAGGATTGTTAGGCTGCATTATAGGTCAACCGGAAGCAGGAAAACTTCCCATAACACCCGATGTATTTGCTACATCATAAAAAGAATGGCATCAATGCTAATATTGGTCTCTTTCATTCTTATTCCGAGGTCACAGTAGCCACCATATACAGTCCATATCCTGACTAGATGGTGGATCAGCATCTAGAGACGACCTCTACGGCCCTGAATGTCAGCGGAGACCATGTCAACTAGACCAAGCCCCAGAGACAGATCCCCTGTGAAGACCTCATCACCTCGACAACCATCGGCACAAGACCACGGGAACCAAACGAGCCCTCTGCACAATCTGACC